ATCTTTAAAAATCTTTATTGATGAGCATTTCATCTTTAAAAACAAATAAAGATTAGCATTTCATGCAAAGGTTTTGAAGGGTTGGGGTTTTTTTTGAGCAAGTTTGTTTCTGCCTAGAAAAATTATTTATAAAAAGAAAATTTAATAGCTCTATCAGCAAAATTGGTGAATATGGATGTTTTTTATGTTGAAATAATTTCCAGTGAAACCATCAAATCATCTTCACCAACACCTTTCCACCTAAAAACATTGGTTCTCCTATAGCTTCATCCGACTCCCAAAATAACTTTTTTTTAAATGTCAATTTGCAGTGCAAGATTTCTCCTTTATTTCGGTCCTTTGCTGCCTTAAATTCAGCTAGCAGATCCCCAATGTATTTGTTATCATCCAACCCAATATACTCCTCTATATGACATCAAAATGCATATTATTATGAAAACAAAAGCAAATATATATATATATATATATATATATTTTAGGAACTCAGGTAAAACAAATACCATTTCCAATTTCAGGTGATTTAGAACCAGCAACAACCTTCCGACACTCAAACAGACTGAAGCTAGAATATGCCGACAATTTAATAATCCCTGCAAGCTCCTAAAGTAGTAATGCTGTTGAACAATACTCATAAGCCACAAGAAAAAATCAATAAAGAACAAAAAGAAGATGCATACTGAAATGTTATAGAAGAGAACAAGAACACAGTAACTATCTACCATTTGAACCCAAAAAGTGTCAATTTTTATAAGTAAATCCATAACTGTTCAAAGCCAAGCACATATGGTTCAAATATCTCAAATGTCAAATCAAAATTTTAGAACACAGGGGGACCAATAACGACATGTATACAGTCAGTGGACTACCACATAACAAATATAGCAACCAAGGAGGCCATTAAAATTACAAAAGCATGTAATACAAACAATATGTATTTTAACAAGTCAAACTTATACAAAATAATCTAAAACTAACACTGTAAAAGGAAATAACTAATCAGGCATAATAAACTCAAATTATGTATGGCTAGAGGGAATATCTGAAATAACTTACTTCCTACTATCATTTAGACGACTACTAGATCAAATGCATCACATGCAGAGAATGCAGCAGCTGGTGGTGACGCCCTTCAGCTTCTTGAAACGAGTAATGATCTTGTCGAAATGTAGAGTCTCTTGACGCCCATCTCCTTTCACAACATACATCTTTAAAAAGCTCCCAAACTAGATAGATAGTAAAGAATTTTCAGAGAGGACTTTCGTCGAACAGGTTTGGTGCACAATGTGGCTGATACAACCAAATCAATCAACAATCAGATACCCAATTACACACATATACAGACTTCGAATTTCAATTTCCGCCTTTAGGGTTTGGAAATCGAACAATCAGATACCTAATTACACACACACACACACATATAGAAATCACTGAAGCTTTATATATATATATAACTTTGAACATAGATCATGAACCAACAAAAATCGAACACAGATTTGGCCCCCATCGTTTATCTCGGTGGTTGTAGCAGCGGAGGAAGAGCCCTCACATCTCAGATCTACCATAAATCCAATAGATTTGAAGCCTTCATATCTCATATCGTCATCGTCCGAGAATGGCACGAAGATGGTGAAGACGATGGTGGTGGTGGTGGTGGTGGTGGTGGTGGTGGTGGTGTGCGGTGGATGTGAAGGTGAAGATGGTGGCGGCCATGGAAGAGGAGTAAAGGGCAGGGAGACCGTCATCGATCTGGTGTTTGGAGTTTTCGATACCCAAGAGTTGGAGATTATTGGTGACACAAATATATTCCTCATTAATAATATTTTAATTATTGAAAAAAAAAATTCTCACAAAAACTTTCAAAATTTTGGCATCATAAAAAAAAATTAGTGGGAAAAATTTAGGTGACGAAACTTATTTTTTTTCTCACCTAAAAGTAAATATTTATTGACGGAAATAAATTTCGTCACCTATTATTTTATTTTTTTTATTATACGTGACAAAATTTATAATTCCTCATGGATTATTCTTATTTAGTGACGAAATTTGTTTTCTTCACTAATTTTTGTCACCATACCAAAACAGAGAATAAGAGAAAGAGACACCAGAAAAAGAGCAAAGAGAAATCATGTACCAAATCATCAAGCGAAGAAGATGTGGTGGTTACCGGCAAGGCTGCTACTGGCTGTGACGATCGACAAGACTAATAGAGGCGACGATGGCGATCGGCGTGGTAGAGGAGCAAGAGGTAAGACAAATTAATACCCTATTTTGAGAGAGAGAGATGATAAACAAAAAAAAGGATAAAAAAAATTAATACCTATTTTTTTATTGCCGCTCAATATATCAAAAATTTTCCACCAAAATTGGTGACAATATTATTTCCTCACCAAAAGATATCAGAAATATTAAAACGTTTTGGTGACGAAAATATATTCATCACAAATAATTTTATAATTAGTGACAAATTTTTTTGACACCAAAAGTCTCAAAATTTTGGCGCCACCGAAAAAAAATAGCGGGAAAATTTTTGGTGACGAAACTTAAGTTTTCCTCACTTAAAATGAAGTATTTATTGACGAAAATATATTTGTCACCTATCATTTTTATTTTTTTATCATATGTGACAAAATTTAAAAATTCCTCACGAATTATTTTCATTTAGTGAGGAATTTTATTTTCTTCACTAGTTTTCGTCACCATAGGTTACTTTTGTTGTAGTGAAGGATTAAGACGGCGTTTATAACTTTCGTCGCAGATACGGTCGCCGTCTTAGGTATACGACGTTTATAAAACGTCGCTAATGACTTTAATCGGTGTTTTTAAAATGTCATAAATTCTCATACATTCCGTTATGTGAAACCGTCACAGTTAACGCTAACATCATATGACGACATTTACCGACCGTTTTTTAAAAAAGCGCCATCTTTTCTCCTTTTTTTTTTAAAAAAAAATATAGCACTGCAATTTATATAAAAAGAAAATGTATAATTTCAATTGCACTAAATCTGCAAAATAAAGCTCCTCAAAAAAAAAAAAAAAAAAAAAAAAAAATAATGATTCAATTTTCAAATTGCACTATTAGCTAAATAAAATCAAATCTGAAAGTCAAGGATTCTTTACACAAGCACATAAACTAAAAATAAACCAAACAATTTTAATTCCTCTTCCATAAGGCTACAATTTCCATAAGGCTCATGGGCCAATGCTTATTTCAATGAACAAGTTGGCCAATGCTCCTACAAAAAAAAAACACTGGAATCAATAATATTAAAAAAAAAAAAAGAAACTAACCCAAAAAAAATATAAAAAAATAAAAGTTAGCAAATTATAATCATAAATAATAAATGACTTGTGACCAAAATTCAAAAGTCAACATTAAAATTCTCTCTACATAAAATAAAGTGATCCTAAAATCTTTTTCCTTTTTTTTTTTTTTAATTTTCTAACATGTATGCATTTGCAACATGCCATATATGCAAATGTAAAAGATATACAGTATTGCACCAACCTTAATACTATTGTTAATTGACGGAGGCGGGCCGTAATCACAAACCTGATGCATAAAATTTGAAGTAAGTAATAGATCAGAACAATTAAAATCCTGATTCACAATGTTCATGAACCACCAAGAAATAATAAAATTGCAACATGTATTAATGAAACATAACTGAAACAAGATGAATAGGCAACAAGATCTTATTTATTGACCCAAAAAATATACACAATTATTGTGAACTAGATGAATTTTGAACCAAGCATGACTTGTGCACAGGCCAATGTATCCAACCGAAGTCATAGAATGATATAAAAATAAATAATAATAAAAAAACCTCCCAAATGATATATTGCAATGCAAATTGCAACACAGATTAACAAAATAAGGAAGTAATATTATTTACACCTTTATGTGAAGGAAATAGGGCTATAGTAATTAGTAATGCAGTAGAACTTACTAACTGATAACTCAACTAGGCCCTGACCCAACTGCTTAACGCCAGTGAGATAAAATCTCCTTTCTCCATTAGTTGCTTTGGATCCCCATTTCTGGTATAAGTCCTTTGGCAAAAGTCAGAGGTTGAACTTTACCATTCCACCCAAAACAATCATCTTTCGTGGACCAGACCTCTGTAAAAGTAAAAAAGCAGCACACTTAGACTCTGGTTCAGAAAATTTGTTTAGAAATGCTTCAGAAAACTTACAGACAAAATAATGAGAATTTAGTAAATAATAAACAACAAATTCAGCTAATTATCACTACCGATTATGAACATATATTCCTTGACGATTTCTCGGTAACATAGTTGATCCAGAGGATGAGGAGGAAAATTGATCAGTTTGAACATAATGAAACTGGTGCCTATGCTGTTGTGGTTCATCCCTACCAGCAAGTAGAACAGATAGACTAGCTACAGTTAATGAACATATTTGGTGTTCTCCTATTTCACATTCAGCAGGTCCATTTGAGTTTTTAACAATATATCAAAACAAATTGAGATAAAGTCCATCCAACCTTACAATAATCCTAATTATATGAGATTGTGCTTGAAAGTGTGGTGGTTTACAGCCTGAACTAGTTTTCCTTGTAACATTCCTAAATTTTAGATTACTCAACATTCCATCTTCAAAGTGTTGACCTAAATTTCTTTGTCTATGTCAAAGTAAAAATTCAAATAACACTTGAAATTTCAGAATGAGAATGATTAAATTTCCTTCAATCAAAGTAAAAATTTAGATAACACTTGAAATTTCAGAATGCGAATGATTAAATTTCCTTCAATCAAAGTAAAAATTTAGATACCACTTTAAATTTCTTTGTCTATGACTTGATACAAGTCCATCCTCTGCTGCATCAGTTAGGAATTGAGCATCATTACTCAAAATAAACCAGAGGTCTTTGCCAAAACACATCAGAAAGTGGAACCAAAACCATAAGGACAATAATATGACCAATGTTAGTGCAAATTTTATCACTGTTATATGTACTTCAAATTAGTCGAGTCGCACTAATGGACAGTAAACACATAAGCTTTACAGGGAAGTGTAAATCATGATATATGATTCCGTCTAGGCAAGATAAGTATGTATACTTTCTTTAGATCATTGATTCCTTTCTTGTTCAACTTTAGTCAAGAATTGAATTATGTCTCATCTTAAAAATTTCACATGGATGTAAACAAGCCATAAAACACAAATTGCAGAACATAAATGATATAGCAATATACATGTACCAGTTTCTGCAATTAGAACACGTGCCTCTTCTGTAGGAAACCCAAAAACTGCTGGAGTAGGATGAAGGGAAGACAATACCTCAAACTGGTAACAAAGCAAACCCGCGTAAGAGAAACTAAGCAACTAGACATTCATTATCAACATATGAAACATTCAAAATCTAAAGTCAAATAATTATATAGATACACACCCACATATAAAACAACATGAATGTTCATAATATATTGGTTCAGGAAGAAAATTTTAGATGGTTACTGAGAAGGAGATTAATGATATGGACTTTGTGCCAGACAGATTTGGGCCGGACAGAGTTGTGCCGGACAGATTTGGGCCGGACAGATTTGGGCCAGACAAAGTTGTGCCGGACAGATTTGGGCCGGGCAGAGTTGTGCCAGACAGATTTGGGCCGAACAGGTGTTGGGCCAAGTTGTGTGGCCCGGCCTTGAAGGAAGCTGCTCGGTTAAGGCAGCGCGTGGATTGACCGAGCTGCAAGGATCCGCGGTTACGAAGCCAGTCAGGTGAAAGGTCCAGCGCTAGGAAAGGCAAGGTTGGACCGAGGTACCTTTTTGCTCGGCAGGAAGGTCGACCGCAGACAAGCGTGAGTTGTCCCGAGCTCGGCTTTGCCGAGATGCCGCCGAGTCCGGTCCTCATCTGAGCTTAGCTGTTGGAGTACTTGGGCATGAAGCGCAGCATGGCAGACGATGGCCGAGATGGTACTGCCCGGCTGCCGAGCTCCCAGGAGAATGGGCAGGCAGTTGGGTTAGGTGGTGCTCAGCAAGGTTTATGCTGACAGATGAATAGTAGTGCCACGTGTTGAGAGAACACTGGGAGTAGATTTGGGGCGCAGAAGATATATAAGCACGTCTGCGCCCCCTACACGCGGACAGATAAACATTTGGTGAGACATACACTAAACACTAGGGTTAGAACCCCTTTGCCTCTTACTATCCCCTTGCACATCCTAACTTCTCCTAGAGCCCCTTATCTTCTCTTTCTCCATCTGCATTACGGTCTCCAAGTGAGCCGCCGCCTCCACAAGGCGTCTATACTCCCTAATCATCGACCCCGCTACTTTAAACATGAGCCCAGTCCTCAACTACTTCTCAAACTCCAGACAACGGCGCTCCTCGATCGCCACTAACTCCGGTGCAAACCTCGACAAACTGGTGAATGTGGCCTCAAACTCAACCACTGGTGTATTTAACTACACCAACTTAGAGAATTAATCTCTCAACTTCCCCCCACCTGTGGAAGGCAAGAACTTATCCTGGAAAGCGTCGACGAAAGCCTCCCAAGTCCCTCCAATGCGCCCTCGTACATACTTCCTGTCACGACCCAAACCCGCCTCTATAGGTTTTGCACCGTAACCGGCCAGTAATCCGAGATTACCAAAGGTCTGCTTAACAGTAATACAGTAATACAAAGTACAGGGGCATGGCGGAAACCAAAATAGTAAGTAAACAGTGTCCAATGAGCTGTGACAGTCTGTATGCAAAAAGACTTTTCATACATATATACAATCAGTGCAAAACAATTTGTACAACATTTACAATCATCCAAGCTAGGGACTTAATCCCTATAAGACAGTACAGTACAGTGTTATCTGTCTATACAACATTACAAAAACAGATACAGAGACAGACGGGGGAAATTAAAACACCCCTAAGCCATAGCTTGGCAGGCTCGGAACCTCGCAGTGAGGCATATAGGTTGGCTTGACAAAATTGGAGTTTACCCCGACGCTTCTAGCAACGATCCGGTGCCTGCACACCTACATATATATATGAGCAGTGAGCTAAAGCCCAATGAATAACATAACGCGTAAAGAGGTTAAGAATGAATGTCCTTTCAGTATTGAAAACAGTCAATTGATTCAGTATATCAGTCATTTAGTCATAAGAGTCATATGTGGTACATCCAGTAGCAAAATAGTACAGTAGGTCTTATTAGACTGAACAGTCAGTTGATGGCCATCATATCAGTAAACAGTATTGGTTCCAACATGGGAACCGACAGAAATCTCTGTAACAGTAGTAGTAACAGTAACAGTAACAGTAACAGTAATTGCTAAGGATGCCACAATATAGTTCACAATTAAGA